ATCCAACAAAACCAAAGAAATGCATTGAATTTGATTGCAAACGAAGCGTCAGTTTTTTATTGGGTGTCATTTCGGACAGGAATTTGTACCTCTAATAGGTGTACACCAAGTGATATTCAATCTATTGCTGAGCAAGGTATATTATGTCAGTAATATTAATTTTATTTAAATTATTGTATAAGTTAAAAAGTTTAATTTTAAAAAATATATTACATAATAGTTTTGGCTAAAATTGGACTTCAATTCAAATCACTTAATTGTGAGACTAAAGCAAACATATCCGTGACACCAATACAGTTGTTTGCAATGTCTGTTATCAACTCTTAATACTCTTATAAAATTTTTAACAAACTTTAAATTTTTAGCATATTTTTGGCATTATTTGTACTCATTTGTGCTACAGCAAGTGTTTGTGATTCCAGATATGGCTGCCAAGGTAATTTAATAAAATTTATTTATCGGTAAATTAATTTGTAACAAAATATCTGTATTTTATGCTATAGAAAACTCCAAGAGTTTTGTATTTGTTAGAGTATTTTCAATAAAAAATACATATAATAGACTGATAGCACCCAACACGTCAAGAGATTTGACATGTATTCACGGCATAAGAGTTTTAACAATTTTTTGGATAATATTAGGACACATTGTAATTTGGTGTAATTATCAATTACATGGTATGTATATATAAATTTATATGGTATGTAATGTGTTTAATAGTATTTTTAATAAATATAATTTTTTTAAATAAAAGACAACAGCTTTAGTGGAAAATACTTATTGAGTGACTTCCCGGCTAATATAGCACTCAATGGCGAGTATGGAATTGTAACATTTCTAATTATAAGGTACTCATAAAAAATAAATTTAAAATATACTTATTGATTTAAAATTAAAAATATATGTTTAACTTTAGTGCTATCCTTACGGCTTATATATCTTTATCAATAACGAAAGGTCTCATTGACGTCAATACAATTATTTGCAATGTCTGTTATGTGATATTTTCTTATGTTTTAGTTTTTAAATAAACTATGTTTTAAATTTTTAGCATATTTTTGTCATCATTTCTACTACTCTGTGTTTTAGCGACTATTTGTGACTCAAGATATGATTACCAAAGTATGAAAAAGTTATTAAATTATTACTAAAAATTAACTGTATTTAATTTTATAGAAAACTCATCGGGATTTATATTTATCAGAATATTCTCGATTAAAAAGACTTACAATAGACTGATAGCACCCAACACTTCAAGAGACTTGTCATGTATTCACGGCATAAGAGTTTTGACAATTCTATGGCTATTGAATGGACATACAGTTTTGTGGACTAATTTTCAATTATTTGGTATTCAATTTATCTATTGCTATTATTTTAGATAAAGTTTAGTTTTATAATTTAGATAATAGTTTTCGTGGCAAATATGTAATGACTGAATTTACATCACATGCCTTACTTAACGCCGAGTATGGAATCGTCACATTTCTAATCATGAGGTACACATTAATGTGAAAATGAAAATAAATTTTTCAAAGTTAAATAACACAATTATTTTTAGTGCAATTCTTACGGCTTACATATCGCTCTCACTCGCAAAAGGAAAGCCAGAAAATTTCAATATTATTATATACATTGTCTTACGTTTGGCGAGACTTTTACCGCAATTAATGATATTTATATTATTGACATTTTTGTTGCCTCTTATGGGGTCGGGACCCCTTTGGAGAGAAGTAGTTGTATCTAATATGAGGAAATGTGAGTCCAATTGGTGGCTAAACATGTTTTTCATTCATAATCTCTATAAAGCTGATCAAATGGTAACTTATTAAAATAAATTGCATATATTCCCCGAATTTAATGGATAATCTATGATTAGTGTGCAGTTCACACCTGGTATATTGCTCTGGACTTTCAATATCATGTCATGACAGCAATTGTCATATTAGCATATTTGTATAATAAGAAAGTTGGCGTTATTTTAAACAGTGCAGTAATATTGATATTTTTAATAATCTCGTCAATTATGATATATGTTTATGAAGTGCCCCCGGCTATTATTCATACTTCCAGAACGTAAGTTTACTTTATACTGGATAATAAAATATTACTGTCTATTTACATCTATTTAATGTACAGTGAACATTTTGAAAAGTTTTTTGGTAATCTGTATCACAAATTACCACCGTCCTATGGGGTCATGTATTTTATGGCACTTATGTTTGGATTCGCAATCCATAGGAAGCCCTTTTTCAATTTAAATAAAGTTAGTATGAGTTTAGTAAAATACTGTAATAAGTTAAATGTTTATTGATTTGAACTGTTTTATTTCAGACATCATTAAACTTCTTATGGATAGTAATATTAAGTGCCTATTGTATCCCATTGTGGGATAAGGTGTACTGGAGTTACGGGCGTCCATTTGACCCGGCGTTTGCCACAGTATTTTATACTCTATGTCGAGTCATATGGACGGTCTGTACATCTTTGATGATATGGTTGTGTATATCAGGAAACGGAGGAATTCTGAACAGACTTTTATCGCTCAAAATATTCATACCATTGGCTCGACTCACATATTCTGTATACTTATGCCACGCGTGGCTTATCTGGTACTTCATTGGGTCGCGCCGGCATCTAATTAACACGACTACCTATGAACTGATAACAAACTTCATACACATAACAGTCTTGTCATATATAATTGGTTTTGTATTCTTTGTTGTGTTTGAGTCACCGATTCTTGAGTTACAAAAGTGTGGAATCGAGGCTTTGAGACGAAAGTATTATCGGAGAAGTATAACACCCGTTGAACTCAAACTTAATCCAACACTAAATGATACCAATTGAACCAATTTATTAAAATTAAAAACCTTTTCTTTATAATAAATAATAAAATAATCTATCCTTTGGTATAATTATTAATCTGCATCTGGACGTTTTGAATATTGTATTAAAATTAATTTTTAAAAATTAAAAGTTAAAATATATATAATATCCATTGAGAAGTAATAACGACTTTCGAGTGAGACATATATTTCAATCATGTATTTCTCAAATTCATCGGAAGACAAACTGTCAGTGAATTGAAGACCACTTTATTTAAGAAAAATAGCCCCAAATCCGGGACAATTAATAAAACAAATAGATTTTCAATAACTTGAAGCAAGTCTTTAACAGAAAGTGTTTTGTAATTAAAGGTTTTAGTTCAATTCAATTCAATTTATTTAAAGTTTAGTTGTATAGTTGTTAATGTTTTTTATATTACTTTAGTGAATTTTTTTGCCTTTACCTTAACATAAATAAGTCAATAAAGGGATTAATAAGAAAGCATAAACTATTTTAACTCACTTGTCAATGTAAATATAAGCATAAAAACCATACAGTATTATTATATTTCAATAATAAAGGGTTTCCAATTCTTATGAAAACTATATAATATATTATTTGTGTTAAACACATAACTTTATTGGTGAAAAGTAAATACACAAATTATTTCGCAACTATATATGCAGTATTGTATTGTACAAAACTAGTTTCTCATTTAAACAAATGTAATTTCCTTTTTTATTTGACAAATTCTTAAATTCCTAACATGTTTAGAAATAATAGTTTTTTAAAAATTATTATTTTATTAATATTTCTATATTCTACAATTTGTAATACTGTTTCTAATAAGAATAATAGTTCAGAAGTTTTGTGGCAAAGATTGTCAGAATATGTGACGAATTGGAGTAAAGAATTTGGTTTAAAGAATAAACCATTTGTTGAGGAATTGCTGAAATCAAGTGATGTATCGGAAAGCTGTTCATTGAGTATATTCTCCACTTTGGATGCAATTGAAAGACTCGATGACTGGTCCATACAAATGATCAATTCGTGGGCAGACTTCCCACCAAAAGGTAACTTATGCTGTAATTTACTAGTTTTACAAGTAATTCAGTAATAATTATAATAATATTTAACCTGATATTTTAAACATAATAACTTTTTCAATGAAAAGGAGTGCTTAAAGGAAGAGTAACAGACTTTGGATCCTATGATCAGTGTTTGTCAATCACTGACAATGATATCATGGGTTCGGCTCAATATTGTTCACTGGATTTGATACCAACAATCCCTCGACCGATGCCTAAACAACAAAATGTTTTCCATCGGATCCCAAACTTATTACCCCTTCATATCCAACAAAACCAAAGAAATGCATTGAATTTGATTGCAAACGAAGCGTCAGTTTTTTATTGGGTGTCATTTCGGACAGGAATTTGTACCTCTAATAGGTGTACACCAAGTGATATTCAATCTATTG